GTTTTTAAGACAGCACTGACCCTGCGAGGTGATGGGTTCTGTAGTCCAAAGCCCAAACTTTCCCAAGTTGATACAGAGTCAAAAGGGGGAGAAGGAGAGTATGTGGATACTCTGGTAAATCAGTTTTAGATCTTTAGGAAAGTGTGTGTGTGGAGCAAGATCAGATATTTTTTAATGCGGAGGGAATCGGATGATTATTAGAGGAGTTTTGCAGGCGTTGTAAACGGGGGAGTAAAAACGGCGCTAGTATTTATCCTGGGTTCCTTTGCGTTTTGCATTTTAACTCGCTTTGCGTTGCAGCTTTTGCACGGGAAACTCGTGCGTGGGAATGCCATGGAGCTTTAAATGAGAAAACATAAATGTCTGGGGTGGGGGTGTCGATTACACGGGGCACTGTCGTGAACCTCCATCCGGTGAGACTTTCACCTCCTTTCCGGAGGTGGCCGCCGCGGTTTCCTTTTGGGGGGGGGGCGCCGGTTGTAGCGAAAGGCAGCCTCTCTCGGGGCGCCTTATGTGGTGCTCGCAGATCGTGGGCTTCCAGCCCAGGTGCTTCCGAAGCCTCGGCCTTGCGCTCCCCGGGAGGCTTCGCCCAGATCCGGTCGTGGGGTTGTGTTCAGGGTGCAGCCCCAGCTGGCGTGGGCACCGTGAAATAAGAGAAGTAAGCGGCCCCTTGGTGCAAAGGAGAACAGGCTGTTGGTTTGTGGGAAGCATTTTCAGTGACCCTCCCACCCCCAATCCCAAAATTCCAAGAGTTCCAGGGAGACAAAAGCCATTTTACTCATGAAAACAAGAATTATGGCCTTTATTTGGGAGTCTGGAAGCTTCCAGGTGAGCTCATTGGCTCTCAGGCAAGATGTGCACTCTCTGTGCGCCTTGTTTTCATGCTGAAATGAGTTGTACATGGGGTGACCACGACAGAAGTGTTGTTGGCCCCATCCTGATAAATTAAGAGTGATAGCGTTAGCAGCAGGACCCCTTTAGATGGCTACAAAAATGGGGTAGGGGTGCCATCTGTACCCCGTGAGTAGCAGTTTTAGAAGAGGTAGCATCTGGAAGTTGAGTCGTGGCAACTGGACTTCTTTCTTCTTAGGTTGAAACTTTTCACTACTCATCTAAGCAGCTTCTTCAGTCTGAGGAGAGTTGGTAGGAGACCCCTGATACATCCTCCACCTTGGTTTCACTTCCCCCTGGTCTGAATACGCTGAACTAGAAAGAGGTCCAGTTGCCATGACTCAACTTCCAGATAACCATACCTGGATTGACTGAGAATCTTCACAGATATAAAGAAGTAACATGTTTTCTGTTTTCCCCCAAAGGAAATGTCTCTCTCTGTGTGTTTTTATGTGCCATTAAGTCAGAATTGACTTAAATGCTCCCGTTGGTGAAATAAAAGTTATGATTGGGCTCACAGTGCTGCCATTTAAAATGCATATACTGTATAGCTAAGTGCAGACCCTCAGAAACACAGCCATCAGATGTGATGAGAATTGAGGGATTGGGGAAGAAAGTTACAATGCCTGTCCTTGTTTTCTGTGATGCTCTGAAGAGAGTAAAGGCAACGATAAGCTTTCACTAGGAACAAGAAAGGAGAAGAAGAAACTGGGGAGAAGGTCCACAAGAAGTTTCTTCTGTGGGAGAAGCTAAGACTTCTCGTGCCTCAGAGAAAGGCTAGTTGCTGCTAAGATGCATGACTTCTGTTTTACATGCCTAAGCTTGAGTTTGGGCTGGTTGAAACAAGATAGCAAGCAACTTGAGTTTACTAAGTGGAGTTTTTTTATTATTAATTTGGGCTGGTTGAAACAAGATAGCAAGCATTATTCTTAATTTGGGCTGGTTGAAACAAGATAGCAAGCAGTCTGCTTTTGATGAGGTTTATACCTTCCGGTAGTGGGGTTAAAGCATACAAGTTTCATAGGAAGCAGAAGAGAGCAACAGGATTGTCAGGGAGGGATGTCGATGACAACTTTGTGTCACTTGTTGAGTTCTATAATAGTCACTAGTCTAACATTTGGAAGGAGTGGGGACTCCCCTGTGCCATGGTGAGTGTCCTTTTCTTTTTTGAGAAACTTAAGAGTGTTCAGAAGTCAGGGGAATCAAAATTATTATCATCTGTGTGGAATGCATCTGGATATTTTCCCTCCTTTCCCCTTGTGATTTGTAACAAATACCTGTAGCTGCATGATTTTAAATACTGGCACCATCACGTCAAAAGCCAAGAAGAGAAAGGTAGATAGAGCTGACAATGGTCTGGCTGGCCGTTTGTAAAAGTATATTACTCACCCCACTTACACTGAAAGAACATCCCCCCCAGGAACTGTATGTGTGTGTTATGTGCTGTCAAGTTAGAACCGACAAGCAACTCCAATAGGGCTTTCAAGGTAAGCCAGCTATTGAAGGAGTTGTTTTATCAATTCCACACCTACACATCCAGTAAGTTTGACAATGGTCTGGCTGGCCGTTTGTAAAAGTATATTACTCACCCCACTTACACTGAAAGAACATCCCCCCCAGGAACTGTATGTGTGTGTTATGTGCTGTCAAGTTAGAACCGACAAGCAACTCCAATAGGGCTTTCAAGGTAAGCCAGCTATTGAAGGAGTTGTTTTATCAATTCCACACCTACACATCCAGTAAGTTTTTGTGCCCCATTGAAGGAGTTTTTACCAATTCCACACCTACACATCCAGTAAGTTTTTGTGCCCCAGCTGGGATTCGAACCCATAGCTCCTAAGTCCTAATCTGATACACTATTCTATGCACCACAATGCGTATCACCCTGTACGCCAGTCTAAATCCAGTTATCTCAACTAGAGTAGACCCATAGAACCAATGGCTGATAGCAAGTTAACACTTTCATAAATCCCATTGATTATGTCTCATTTGGGTGTGCCATTTGGATCCAAGCCCATAGCTCCTCAGTTTGTTGCTTAATACCATCATGCTTATCCAAAAGTCATCAGTGAAAATTGCGTTGTTCAGATGGAAGGGCAACTCTTATTTTCCTTCTTCCACCCAGTCTTCATTCCAAATGTTCACTCGTTTTTTTCTTGCTCCAGCGGGGTTGTAATGTTAATTTGCTACTATTTTACTTAATACCATCATACTTATCCAAAAGTCATCAGTGGAAATTGTGTTGTTCAGAAGGAAGGGCAACCCTATTTTCCTTCTCCCAGCCAGTCTTCATTCCAAATATTTACTCATTTTTCTTGCTCTAGCGGGGTTGTAATGTTAATTTGCTACTATGACAGAATTTCACTCTCTTCCATTTTCATGTTGGGAGTCATCTCTTAATTCTTTTCCTTCTCTCTCCCCTCCCCAACAACTACACTCCTTCAAAAAAAGAAAATGGGGGGAGAAGAACTGTGTGGTGAGCAGTTCGCTAGCTTTCATCCACATTTCTGGGTCATCAGTGAACAGTCAAAACCTGGTGACTCTGTTGTTTTCTTTGTTTTGTGTATGTGTGTTAAGTAATGAGTAGTTGTTCCTAGCGATGTGGCTATCTTCAGGGTTATTCATAAGTTGTGTTTTCCTTGCTTATTAAGGGACAGAGCAGTGCTGAAAACTGAGGGCCATTGTTTCTGTGCCAGCACAAAATTTCCCCAGACTCCTGTCGCTGAAAACTAGAGAAACGAACAGAGTAGATACTTTTTGCATCCAAGAATGTGATGAATTTGGCTTCAGTGAATTGCTTATTATGTTGCCTGTCTCTTGCAATCCCAGAACTGAATTGGTAGAAATAAATAAATAAAGTATCTTGTATTAGCCTCTCCAGGAGGGAAAAGACCAATGCTTTATTTTCAACTCATGAAAGTATTTGGCTTCCCACAAGTGGGAGTAGCCCTTGCTAAATACAGCAAAGCCTTGCAGCAAATTATGCAACAGCAAAGGAGACTTTGTGTTACAGTATATTGAAATGAAGGAATCAGGACACTAGGCATGGCTGGTAGGAATGCATCCCTACAGCTCCTGAGGAAGGAATCTGCCATCTCCATTCCTCAGAGAGAGCTGCCTATAGGGAAATACAGTGGTGCCTCGCATTACGATGGCTTTGTTTAACGATGAAATCACATTACGATGAACTTTTGCGATCACAAAACAATGTTTCCCATGGGGGAATTTCGCTTTGCAGTGATCAGTTCCCTGCTTCAGGAACCGATTCTTCGCAAAACGATGATTTTCCAACAGCTGATCGGTCGTTTCAAAATGGCCACCGGGTAAATAAATGGCTCCCCGCTGTGTTTAGGGAGGGATTCCTTGCAAGACAGGCAGTGAAAATGGCCGCCCTATGGAGGATCTTCGCTGGACGGTGAGTTTTAAGCCCGTCGGAATGCATTAAACAGGTTTTAATGTGTTTCTATAGGCTTTTTAATTTTGCGTTACGATGTTTTTGTTCTACAGCAATTTCGCTGGAACAAATTAACATTGTAATGTGAGGCTTCACTGTAGACCACTTCTTACTCTCCAGGCTTCAGAATGTACTGACTGCAAGCAGAGGTGTAAAGGTTTGTGTGCTTTTTTGGACTACAGCTCCCACACTCCAGTGGCTGTACTGCCTGAGGACTTCTGGAAGTTGTAGTCCAAAACTCACAGATCTACACGTGCTGATTTGCAAACCCATATGCTGGTTAAAGGCTTCAGATGTGTAGCCATAGCTGAATACATTAAAATTTATCAGCATGTTACAAATCAAGTAAGCCTAGCTGTGGCCAATAATTTTAGGGGCCTGTTTAATAAGCTTGTCAACCTTCACGTGTCTAGGTTTCATGGTCTTGGAGCCATGGTTCAGACAGACTCGCAACCGCTTTTATTGTTACAGATGGCAGCAGAGCCTGGGTAAAGTTGTTAAGATGTTATCCCCATGAGTCACAAAGGTTTAGTGGCGGTAGTTTTGCCTGTGGGGCCATAGATACAAATTCCAGCCTCCTTCTCAGCTGAAGAAGTGCCACAGGTCTTCCAAGTAAGATGCCCCAAGACAGCAGCCGAAGGACATGTTTTGTGTGCAAAAAGTACTGGTATCAATCCCTGTGCAAAGGGTTGCAACATAGCCTCTGACCTGAATCAGTAGTCCTTGTGCAAACAGGGTTGCAAAAGATCTTTGCCTTGAATCCTGGAAGAGTTGCTGTTTGTTGAGGAGAGATGGCATTGATAGGGGAGAGACACCAAAGCTCTAACTCAGAGGCACAAATTTGAGCTAAAGGATGGGAACAAGACTGGAGACTGTACTCTACTACCGGGAAGAAACTGGGAGCATCTATTTATAGGTTTAAACAAACTGCGTTGTCTCTGTGTCCAAACCATGGTTGGTTGAAAGTGTGGTTTATTGAAGTGAACAAAAACCCTGATTCAGCTTTAAGATTAGTGTTACTCTATCATTTGGATGTAGTGTCACACATGGTTTTTTAACACAGGAAATAAGTCCTTACCCACACTTCTCCTAATTTAGTGTAGGTGCTTTGGGCTAAACAGCAGAAGCCTCTGTGCTGCAGGGTCAGAAGACCAGCAGTCGTAAGATCGAAGCCACGCGACGGAGTGAGCTCCCGTCGCTTTGTCCCAGCTCCTCGCCAACCTAGCAGTTCGAAAGCATGTAAATGTGAGTAGATAAATAGGTACCACCTCGGTGGGAAGGTAAAACGGTGCTCCCTAGTCACGCTGGCCACGTGGCAATGGAAACTGTCTTCGGACAAGCGCTGGCTTGAAAAACGGGATGAGCACCGCTTCCTAGAGTTGGACACGACTGGACTAAAAAAAAATGTCAAGGGGAACCTTGACCTTTACCTATAAGATTTATATGCCCTGTTCCAGCGCTCTCAACCCATCTGGAAGCCGCACTCTTCAGGGTCCTATCCCAGCTGTACTCTTTTAATTTTTTTATTGTACATTTTTATATGCAGGTATCTGGAGCCCAGGGAAGGCATGATAAACATATTTTGTACACTTCCTCTCCGTACATCTCTCTCTCTCTCATATCTTGAGGTCCCTTTGTTTAGGGTGCCTCCTTAAAGATCAAGGCTCTCTAGATGCTAGATGTATTGTATACACATAGCACAATGTATTTGTGTTTTTGACTTGCTGTAGGTAATGTATGCCTTCACTTAATGCTACAAGGATAGGGTTTATAAGCTGAAACCAAGGTGGTGATAAAAAGGGTGAAGGATTCGTAGCCCTTTCGATGTTGATGTCACAGCAGCTCAAGCCACCATGACTAATGCTCAGGGTTGATGGGGACAATAGCCCAACAGCATGTCCTCCTTTTTCTGACAAAAGAAGGTAAAGAGATGAGAAAAATAGCCCTCCACAGGGAAGCCTTACTTCCAACTGCTGCTTGGGGTCTGTCATTAGCCTCTAGGTGGATTACTATCTGTCCTTGTTTGTTTTTTTTAATTCATAATAGGGGAATGGTGATATTGTTTTGGTGGATTTTTGAAATATGACAGAATGTAAAATACTGTCAGTGTTACCATTGAATTAGAAATAGTGTAGTTTATTTCTAACTTGATTATTGTTCTTACTTTCTCTGTTAAATGGTGTAATAAAATCCATGAGAACATTAGGTTTCCCCATCTGTGTAAATTAATGAACACAGCTGGATTTCAGGTATATACTGTATTTGATAAAATATTTTGATGGGATCATTTTATTACACTGCCTGTTGTTTTGGCAGTTAGGTTAAAACTTCTGCCTTTTTGTCTTGTGTTCATGCAGGAGACCAAGTAACTGTGAAATCATGGCAGGAAAGCCCAAGCTGTATTACTTCGATGGAAGAGGCAAAATGGAGTCAATACGGTGGCTGTTGGCAGCAGCGGGTGTGGAGGTCCGTTGGCTGACAGGGAATATAATGTTGTTGGGTGTTGAGGGTTGCATTGGTTTTTCCAGGAAGATTGTATGCCCATGCATGCAGGAATCGCAAAACAAGAAATTCCAGAGGGCCCAGGGAATTCTGAAAAACATTTTATTTTCTCTGTGAGTTAAATTGTTAGCCAGATTCTTATCGCATGCGGGAGTGTATGGTTGTGGGGAGCGTGTCTCAACCGAAATTCAAGAGTGGAATACCTGCACACAAGCAGCCTGTTCCTCTTGTTATACCACAATAGGTTGTGTGATAGAGCCCTTTAAGGCCACATGAAATTGTCTAGGGCCATATCCAGGCTGTAGAACTCTGCTTATGCTGGGCAGTTCCTCATCACCATTCTCCATCAGTGTATTTAATATATCTTTGCCTTGTTGCCCTAGACCATGTATATCTGATTGTCAGTATTTAGCCAATGTGTTCATTACCTTTTAGACTGCCAGCCCCAAGCCTTATTTCAAAATACTTTGTTCAGAACAAGGGGCAAAGAATCAGATTTCAAGGCCCTTGTGTGACTGCAGATGACACTTCTTTTATTTCCTGATGGTGGCTTTCCCCCACTACTATTGTGCAATTGTTACATATAATAATTCAGGCGAAAATGTACTTGGTATCAAAACAGAGTACAGGAGGAAAGGCCATCTCACTGGATGTGAAGAAAGGAGCCAACTTTATTTGCTGTTCACTGACTTTAGAAATCTGATTCAGAAATGCTAATCCCTAGATAAGAGATGGTCACTTGTGTTTTGAAATATCTGTTGCTTAAATGTGGCCATTTAAAGCCTAAAGGATGCCTGTCCTTGGATCAGTGTTGATAACAGTTTGAGGTCTAGAGCTCACAAACAATTCTTCACATGTGTTTCTATCCTGTAGTTTGAAGAGGAGTATTTGGAGACCAGAGAGCAATATGAGAAGCTGCTTCAAGGTAAGTCTCTGATAAAATGGCAAATATTTGGCCATTTAAGACATGATGTATCAAACAGGATTTCAGCATGAGCAGAAACAAAGGAAAGCAGGATTCTTGAGCAACAGAGGAAAAGAATTGTAGCTTTGTATTTCAAACAGATATATACTTAAAAACAGCTCATTGCTTGGCATCCCCAGCGCAACCTCACGAATGTTATGAAGTAGCAGGAATATAAATGACTTGGATGTTAAACTGTCCTTCTGTGAAGAAGAAAGGATACAGATCTGGTGGAGGAATTTATTAGCCTTAGGGTCTGATTTTTGTCTGCTCAGCTCCCTGAAGCTCTTTTCTCCAGCCCATGGAAGGTTAAACGTGCCCAGTTCTTTCAGTCTTTCCTCAGAGGGCTTGGATTCCAGTCCCCTGATCATCTTTCTTGCCCTCCTGTGAACTTGCTCCCATTTGTTGGCATCCTTTTTAATTTGTAGTCTCCCGAACTTGACACAGAACCTAAGATGAGGCCTTGTTGTTGTTTAAGTCGTGTCCGACTTTTCATGACCCCATTTGTGGTCTCCTGAACTTGACACAGAACCCAAGATGAGGCCTTGTTGTTTAGTTGTTTAAGTCGTGTCCAACTTTTCGTGACCCCATGGACCAGAGCATGCCAGGCCCTCCTGTCTTCCACCGCCTCCCAGAATTTGGCAAAATCCATGCTGGTAGATGAGTCCTAACCAGTGCCAAATAGAGGGGAACGAGACTATGCTTCAGTCAGTGCAACCTAAAATAGCATTGGCCTTTTTTACAGCCCCATTACACTGTTGGCTTATATTCAGCTTGTGATCTACAACAATTCCAAGATCCTTCTCACTCATAGTATTACCGAGTCAAGTATCCCCCATCTTGTGACTGTGCATTTAGTTTTTTCCTCCCACAAGTGTACAACTTTGCACTTATCCCTGTTAAATTGCATTCTGTTGTTCTCAGCCCAGTGCTTGAGCCTGTCAAGACCTTTTTGAAGTTTGTTTCTGTCTTCCTGGGTATTAGCTGTCCCACCCAATTTTCTGTCATCCAAAAATTTAAGTATTCCGTGCACTTCCTCATTCAAGTCATTAATAACTGTTGAAGAGCACCAAGCCCAGGACTGAGCCCTGAGGTACCCCACTTGTTACCTCTCCCAGTTTGAGAAGGAGCCATTAATCATCACACTCTGAGTATGATTCTGCAAGCAACTGTGCACCCACCTGATGAAATTTGTATATTCTGTGTAAGCTGCTCACGAAACTGCTCATTACTATTTGGTGTACCAACATTGTTAATAAGCAGTAGTATCTAAACATATATGTGGGCACCGTCTGGTCACACACATCTTACAGTCATTTAATGATAAGGAATGATTCAGACTTTGATTGTTAAGATTATTCCATCTTTATGCACTAAAGAAAACAGTTCTTTTGCTTGGTAAATTACCATACCTTGATAACCAAATACAGTGTGTACATATCTGGATCTGTCGGCAGGGAATGCCTAGCAAGTCTCTGATGACATTGTGGATTGTTTGTGCTTATTTTTCAAAATGCCCAGCAGAGTCACACTTCCCTGATTCTCATCTGCCACCTCACCATGTTGATGAAAATGTAACTGTCGTTATGGTTTGTGTGGAAAGGTGGCTTTGGTTTTAGTTAGTCACTCTCTGATCAAGATTTTGAATTAATGGGTCCTGCTTCTTTTTGTCAGCATTGTATAGATTCATTTCTTTGGGAAAAAAAAACCCAAACAAACTGTGGTTTATGACTGGATAGTGTGCTTTTGTAGCCATGATTCAAAAAGCCAAAAAAAGGCCCCATATTGCTGCACAATATCATCCCCAGATTGCCAGCAAGAAAAAGATGTCAAGTTTTACATAGCAAAGGGTAACCTGAATGTTGATAACCCAATGGCAGCAGTCAAGATGGTCTACAGCAGTGGTGTCGAACTGTGGCCCTCCAGATGTTCTTGGCCTTCAACTCCCAGAAATCCTGGCCAGCAGAGGTGGTGGTGAAGGCTTCTGGGAGTTGAAGTCCAAGAACATCTGGAGGGCCACAGTTTGACACCACTGGTCTACAGGATCCCCTCTTCTGCTCACTGCCATTCACATTTCTTGAAAAACAGCCCTGACAATTGCTTTGTGTTTGGGTGAGAAGTGGTTAACTGATTAAAAAAAAGAACTTGGCTTCTGGGATTTTCCCTTGCATAATGTCATTTAGTGAATAGTAGTGAGCAGAGGAAGTTATCTTGCAGACCATCTGGGCTGCTGCCATTGGTGTTGTCAACATTCCCGGTTTGGATCAATAGCAATAAACAGAAATTGCCACTTCCTTTGACAACAAGTAGCATAGTGCAGTCCTCTCTTTATTGTTGAGCTCCACTTCCCATCAGTGGTCATATGTGGATGAGGATGATGACAGAGTTCAGCATCTGGAGGTCTTAGGCCATTCTTGGTTATAAATGAATATGGAGGACAGGAAACACATCAGCCATACAAATTCTGTATGTAATAGTTGAAAGGTTGAGAAATGGATTCCCCTTATTTATTGGATAAATGTAGAGCTCAATGGCATGATGCAGAAAACACCTCAACGGCAACACTGGAAATGTAGGGCATGTTCTTTTCTGTTACCTGTGAAGTGGGCTCCAGCGATTGTATGAGGAAGAAGACCAAGAGATGGTTTGTTAAATGTGTCTTAAAGCTGTTGCTGTTAGCTGAGCAGTACTATTTCAGTTTTCTCAAAACAGTGTTGCTAGATGTCTGTAAACATGCTAAAACTGCCCTTTTTCCTTCTGAGTGATCAATATATTGTACTAGTTTGCTTTTTACAAGTATCAGACTCCATGCTATTATAGTGAACTATGTCCTCATAACAGTGTTTCAGTAGTTCTTCTGATCACTAACAAGACAATAAGGAGTTATTTAATATTTCAGTTCCAGGGTGGAAATAGATTTCTTGATATCTTAACTAATCTAACTAGATATGCTAATCATTCTTTTATTTTTTTTCCCTCCCCCATTTTGATTGTTTAAAAAGAGGGATCCCTTCTGTTCCAGCAAGTGCCCATGGTAGAAATTGATGGGATGAAGATGGTGCAGACTCGAGCCATTCTCAACTACATCGCGGGAAAATACAATCTCCATGGGAAGGACCTGAAGGAGAGAGCCTTGTACTGCAACAGATATGTTTTGTATTTGCTAGAGATAGTCAGAGTCCTGGTTATCACTTTTTCCTTGTAGTGCAGAGTATTATCCATTCCAGAGGTGGACAGATTTCAGGCATGTGGGATCTGCTTTGTTTCCCACTAGAACTGCAAGAAAGACCAGCAAGAAGCTAGTGCACAGAATGTTCACTTACAGCTTTCTCACATGTAGAGCTAAATTTATTGTGATGCAAAGATATGCATGTATGCTCTGCTGCCATACATCTCTAACACCTAGAAGTCAGTCATGTACACAGGTCTGAAGACAATTCTGAAATTCAGTAGCAAATTGCAACTGGAGTAGGCCCATTGAGTCAGTCGAACTTGTGGAGGAGTGGACTCGCTGACTCCCCACCCATTCTGCATGCCTGCTCTCATTCTGTACTACTACTGGATTTCAGTCTGAGTGTCTGGCTGAACACAGTTATCATGCTCCTGTGATCTGCAACCTTGCCTTCTCAGGTTCGTGATCACAAGAACTCTCTATAACTGACCATGCCAACAGAGTCTTCTAATAGATTTCTGGGTGGTTTGCTATTCAGGGCATCTGCCTTTCAGTGTCCTCACCACTTGGAATTCAACTGGAAGATGTTCTGAACTTGCATGAATCCCCACTTCCACATCATGAATAGCCTTTTATTTGTTCAGATGAATGCCTCAGTAGTGTTTTAGAGTAAGAGATGTCTGATCCCAGAGCCCAGGCATTTGACCTGAATACATGCCAAAGAAAAGGAAATGCAAGAAAGCAAAGTGGCTGTCCCAACGAGGCCTTACTAATAGCAGAGAAGAGAAGGGAAACAAAATGCAAGGGAGATAGGGAAAGTTACAGAAAAGTGAATGCAGACTTCCAAAGAATAGCAAGGAGAGACAAGAGGGCCTTCTTGAATGAACAGTGAAAAAATAGAGGAAAATAATAGAAAGGGAAAACCAGAGATCTGTTCAAGAAAATTGGAGATGTTAAAGGTATATTTTGTGCAACGATGGACATGGTAAAGGACAAAAATGGTAGGGACTTAACAGAAGCAGAAGACATCAAGAAGAAGTGGCAAGAATTTGTTGTTTAGTTGTTGTGTCCAACTCTTCATGACCCCATGGACCAGAGCATGCCAGGCCCTCCTGTCTTCCACTACCTCCTGGAGTTTGGTCAAATTCATGTTGGTCTCTTCAATGACACTGCCCAACCATCTCGTCCTGTCATCCCCAAGAATACACAGAGGAATTATACCAGAAAGATCTGGATGTCCCAGACAACCCAGATTGTGTGGCTGCTGACCTTGAGCCAGAAAGCATGGCTAACAACAAGGCCAGTGGAGGTGATGGTATTCCACTCAAATTATTTAAAATCTTCAAAGATGACTCTGTTAAGATGCTACACTAAGTACACCAGCAAGTTTGGAAACTCAGCAGTGGCCAGAGGATTGGAAAAGAT